TCCTGCTCTGTGGCCAGGCTGCCAGGTCAGCTTGGGGAGGCAGGGTTTTGCACAGTATCACTGGCAAGTTCAAGCTTTGTGGACTAAAGCACTCGGTAAAGAAATGTCTAGTCTGAAGGATCAAAATGCTGCTCCCCGGCACACTCTGCTTTTGCTGCCATGCAGGAAACCCTGATGGGGGCGCTTTTGGTGGTGAAAAGAGGCTCTCTTGGTTCTCAAGAGTTTCACTGGAGTCCCCTCTGCGGGCCAATGGAGAACAGTAGTGGCCTGGGGGTACCTGCACCATCGTCCCAGGATGGAGCCCCTGAGCGCCACAGGATCTCTGGGATGCAGAACTGCTCAGCGTGGCACAGCAACATGACACACACCATAGCCGTGACTGCACTGACCCCTGCTGGACATCTTTTCTCTTATAATTTCTCCAAAACTCTCATCTTTTCTGTCAGGGGGGTAGAGGCACTTCTGGAACTGCGCCCCTGCCACATCGGGGTCCTGTTCCTCCCACGCTGTCCTGCAGCAGAGCCCAGCCAGCAGCTTTTGGTGCAGATGTGAGCGCCAGCTGCTCACACACAGACACACCCAAAAATCACAGAAATCATTTCTGTGCCTCACTTTTGAGACAAAATCCAGCAGATAGAGCCTCATCCCTTCATGGCATTGTTCTGCAGACATGCAAGAAGACAACTGAGCTCTGATGTCTTTCCAGCTACCACTGGGAGCTGCATTTATTCTACATTAAAAAGGTGGGGATGCAGAAATTTCCAGTGAGGAAGAGAAAAGTCATGTATAGGGATGAAAATGTTTCATCCTGAGGGCTGGTGAAGAGAAGAGGGACAGAAAGCTGAATGTTTGTACAGTTGCTACAAGCAGAAGGAGCGTGGCTCAAACAGATATCAAAAGTTAAGAGAAACATTTGTTCCCACATTAGAAATGTCACAGAAGGGATAGGGGAATTGAAACAGTTTAGTGCTTAGGCTCACTCATGCCTTGGTGACCCCATTGTGATCCTGAGCTCCAGCTGTCACACAGATATGGTCCTGTCCTGCCCTGGAGAGGTGGCAGAGGCTCAGCCAGGTCTCCTGCAGGTGTCCTCCTCCCCTGGGATAGGTGATATGCCTGTGAGTTACTCAGACCCACCTGTTTCAGGGTGTACCTGAGTTACACTGATCACTCACAGCGCATTGTGAGGCTGCCCTGCTCGTGAGGTCAGCTCCAACAAAGATGGCCCAAGAAAGATGGGAAGAAGCCTTTGGCTGGGCAACCACATCCCTTCCCTCCCAGGCTCATCCAGGCAGGAGGAATGGCTGCAGAGCCACACTCCAACAGCAAGCTGCTTTTCAAAATGCTGAATAAAGAAATGCCTTTCCTCCCTCCTTCCCTCCCCCCCTCCCCTCTGCCTCCCTTGTGCTGCTTATGAGGGCTGAAGCTGTTGGGTACATTTGCACCAGCACCACCTCTCTCTGCAGCTGAGCACACTTCAGGGAAGGGTGGTGCTGGGGACACCGAGATGTGCAGAGATGGTGGTGCAAGATGTGCAGGGGTACAGAGACAGATGCAGACATAGAGAGAGAAGAGATTGGAAATGCTGCCTGCCTTGCAGTGAGCATGGACAAAGAGCCAAGGAAACCACCCAGCATTGCTCTTGCCCTCAGCCCAGCTGAGCATTAGGGAACGAGACCTGTTTCCTCTACTCCTTGTTGTATAGGAAAGGCAGCTGGTTTGCAAACATTTCTTGCTACACTGATCTCTTTACCTTGCTGCGGGCTGCAGTCAAGGCTGGTGCTGACTCAAACACCAAGGGCAATCAATACTTTTGCAATGTCCTGGCAGTCTGGGTTAGGCCAGGGCTCTGTCCTTCCTTCCTTCCTTCTGTCCATCCTCACATTCTGCACGCATATTCACACCTTCTCTGAACTCAGGCATGTGGAGGATCACAGAGACTGCACATCCTCCAAGGGTGCCTGGTGAAGAAAGGGATGAATGTCTTGGCAATGCAGACCTGCATGCACATTCATTAATGTTAGTGGGAAATCTGCCTGGATATCGGAGCATGGGGAGGAAGAGCTGTTTGCTGGCATGACACAGCTGACACTGCTGTTTGCCTGGTGGTACTTTTCTCTTGCACAGAGCTCATCCAACGTGGTAAGTCTGACCCAGCTGCTGACGCCAGCATTGCACTGGCTGCTGGAAAGCACAGCAGAGCCGCAGGGACACCCGGAGGCCCGGAGAGCTATGTGGGCTCAGAATGAGGCCCCAGCAGACACACACGTCAGCAGAGGCTGGAGGAACCCAAATCAGTGCTACTCTGAGGTGGGGATTTCTGTGACCTGTTTCCGTACATTTTGGCATTTCAGCCAAGTCAGCAGAAACACAGATTTACCTAGAGCAGAAGCGCACTGCTCACAAGTCATGCGTCAAAACTGACGCACTACAGGAGCAGCTTTGCTTTGCCCAGTATTACTTGCTGCCTTTTAAGGGACATTAACATTTAAGGTACGTTAACCAAATATAAATATCAGCCCACACATTACAGTTAAACCTGATATATTCAGACTGAAGTTATAATTACCTTTCAACTCCCCAAACTATTTTTATATCTGGACAGAATAGCTAAAGTCATGGGGTTTTTTCTTCTTCTGACATGAGGCACCTTTCTGGACCCTCTTCTGGCACAGTCAGCAATTTCCATACTGCTTCATAATTGGTACACATATAGTTGTATATATAAAAAGTGTTTTCAAGAGGCTGAAAATAAAACAGGATTCTCCTGGACATGACACAATTAACTTGGGGAGTCAGGCTATGGCAGTTTCATGTATGCTAATGCAGAGGCCCATCCCTGCACAGGAGCATCCTTCAGCTAAGAGAAGAGTGGGACACAAATACCCTTCAGTAACCTTTCTTTTTCCCCTCCTTACAGTTTTGCCTGGTTCTGACCTCCAGCTGTAGCTGGATGTTACCACAACAGAAAGAGGCAGAGTTGTGCTGCTGGCTGGCAGGGCTCTTCCAGACAGCACCAAGTCAGTCCCATCCTCATCCCCAAACTGCATGCAGTGGCCTGAACAAGTGGCCTGAAGGCCAGAGATTCTGCCAAGGATTTAATAAGTTTGTCTCATGTTGTCTTAGGAAGGGGGCTTCAGCATAACGCCAGAAAAAGCCAGATATAGACTAGTTTCTTACTCCAGGATATTTTACTGTTTTGGGACAACAGACTATGATTATCTGTGCTAAAGTGGCAGTCCTGCAGCTCAGAGCTGAGACAATGGAACAACCTGCCAGGTCCCACTTGACACTATTTTCTGAGGGATCTAGCAACATCATAAGCTGGCATGTCCTCCCTCCTACATCCCACTTTTTGCTGCTGTAGTTGAACAGCATGGTCCTTAAACATGCCCATACAACTGCTGCACGTTTGCAGTGTGGGAAGTGATGAGCACCCCTGGTGCCACTGCAGTGCTCCAGCCTGTCAAGGCCAGACATTCAGAGAGCATCATGAGTGGCATCAGACAAAGTCTCCATCTTTCTAAGAGACCCTCTGTAGAAGGAACCCTCTGGTGCAAGTAACACTAGTAAATCAAAAGAAAACAAGTATGCACTTTAGGTTTAAGCTTGAATGTGGGTAACAGTTACTCTGGTCTCTGCTTTAAGATGATGTGCAGAAGCCAAAACATGATTGCATCTGACTGTTTCATGTGCCAACATCATTCCAAATCCTCTTTAACCTGCATTATCTCAGCAGAAAGAAAAAGCAAGATCAGGACATGAAGGTAAGCAGCAGATATGAGCAGGAACCATATAACAACTGTGGTGGAACAGCTGTGATGGGTACCTTTTATGCAAGTAAGTGAGCAGGCATTGGGGCTGTGCTGGATGCTTTAGCTTCAGCTTCCTGTGATCCCTGCTCTTGGGAAAACCCTAAAATTTGGAATTTTCCTCAAGCTGTCAGCGGTCAGCACAGATACAGGAAGATGTCTTCTGCTCTCAATGCTCTCACAGGCACTGGAAGGGCAGCACACTGCTCCAGGCTCATTCCTTCAGAAAGCAGAGGAGCTCTGTGGGTATCACGGATGTGGGTATCACCTTCTCCCTTTGCACAGGAAGGCAGCAGTACCAGCTTAAAGCAGCTGGGCAGTGAGGAGAAGTTGAGGTCAGGTCCAACTCAGAGCTCCTGCTATTGCTGATAAAACAGAAGCCAGTTGCCTCTGGCAGAAAAACCCTTTAAGCTGCAGAAAGCATCTCTTGCTTCCTTGCTAGAAGGTGTTGTGGCAACAACAGGGCAGGATTTCCTCCAGTGAGAGCTCAAAAAGTGAAAGACTGCAAAGAAGGCTCTGCATGTTTAGGCTACCCTCATGCCACTGGGTTACAGTCCTTGTGGGGAAGCCCTGGATCACAGCCTCTCTCCAACAGCTACATAACAGCAATCAATGAAACCTCTGAGCAGAGGAAGATGTCCCCCAGCAGACATGCTCAGCAACCAGAGAAAGGCCATCATCATCTTGCCAGCTTGGGCAAATGGGTTCCAGCCCCTGTCCCAAAGCACTCGCACAAGGGGTGCAGGGTGAGGCTGCTGAGGCTGAAGAAATCATTCCCATCTCTTGTGCTTCTGTGCTCTTGTGCTCCAGAGGGCTCACACTGTGAACCTGCAGGGGAGAGAGTTGGTGCCACCCTCCTGCCCATCACCCTTTGGCTTTGCCTTGAGTTTTTGTGAAACCCTTTTAAGAAAACCTGAGGGTTTGCATATCCAAAAAAGCCTGGCTGGCAGTAAGGCACCTGAAAGGTAGAGACTGTACTGCTGTGCCAGGCAGCAGCTGAACTGAAGAGGGGGCTGAGAATAGGCAGCTGGAAGGACTATCAGTTGTGTAGATCTGTCCGGACAGAATGAAATGCAGATGGTGACACAAATAACGATGAAACAGGTTCCTCAGATGTAAAGATAGTGCAATTATACTGCACACAGTGTCTTTATTATGAAACTTAAAATATGGTGCTATCTTGCAGGGACAAACAGAAGAGAACAAAAAGATTTAGAAAACCATTGCATTTATCTAAGAGTATTTGTGCATATAAAAGTATATATATGGGTGTATGGGTGTGTATTTGTGTATATATACACACATGGGCAAGTACAGATATGCATGCATACGTACATAGCTCTATACATACAGATACATATAGATATATCTATACGAATGGGTAGCCATTCACATATATAAAATCAGTCATTCCAAGTTGGAACAGTAACTGGAATGTCAACCCCAGATGCTTGCTCAAGAGCAGTGACCACACTGGCACACAAGTTACCAGTCCAAAAAGTTCAAAACTGTTCAGAAAGTCCCCTGACAGCGACATGTGACAGTTCACACCCACTATTTTTTCCACTCTTCAGCCTTTTTCCTGGTAACAATTTCTCTATCCATTCCTACAGCACTCATTCATTCCCATAGGGGCTGTTGCTTGACATTCACAGTGTCATTTCTGAGCTACAGCTTCAAACCCTTCCAGCCAAGAAGCTGCAGGCCCTGGTAGAAGAAGGAGTCAGGATGATCAGGATCATACCTAGATATTAATTGATATTGATTTTACCAAAACATGGACAGTATTTATTTCTTGGTTGCTTATCCAATTACTCGCTCAGTAAGTTCTTCTGGGGCTGGAAGCACTGTTCAGATCTGGCATGACACCTTAAGCTTGGGCCCCATTTTCCTCCAAAGAGCAGGTTTCTACTTCTGCAGTGAGTCCCATCCCTGCTCACAAAGCCATCACACTCTGCTGAGACAAGAGAAGGAATGGCCAAGTGTCCAGGGTTTGGAAGCATAAACAGCTCTTTTCAGTACTCAGTCTGAAGGGGGGATGGTATATTTCTGAGGTACCTCTCCACGTTGCTCTGGCAGTGTGGGAGTCTGCTGGTAATTTCATGAAGCAAGCAAGGCAGGAGGTGCCAAGGGAAAGGGAGGATGATTAAAAAAAAAAAACCTCTAAAAAGTGAGAACACCAAAAGCAACCACAATAAAAGCAAAACCAAGCAGCTGCTTCTACTTTTCGTGTCCTAAAAGGTTGCTCAAACAGCCGATGGCTGTGGATGCACAGTTGAGGATTTCTCAATTTTAGGTCCCCTGTCCAGGATGATAGTTTTGGACTTGTTCTACAAGACAGTGCCAACATAAGACAACTGTGAGGACTTTGTGTGCAGAGAGGAGTGCTTGTCCAGGCTGCGCCCACTGAAAGCCCCGTAGCCTTTGCAGTTCGATAGAAAACATGCAGATTTTTTGAAAATGTCACAGAGATGCTTCTTGAACTTCTCACCCACAAAAGCATAGATGACTGGGTTGAGGCAGCAGTGGACAAAGGAGAGTGCCTCAGTCAGCTCCACGGCTAGGTCTAGCCTTTGGCTTGTCTGGCAGTCATCGATGATGGACATGTTCCTCAGAGAGTCCAAAAACAGCACGATGTTGACAGGGGTCCAGGAGAGAAAGAACACAATGACAACAATAAAAACCAGTTTAATTGCTTTGTACTTGTTCTTGGTATGGCACTTCTGAAGGTTTTTCAAGATGCTGTGATAGGAGAAAATGAGGACAACAACAGGGATTAGCCACCCCAGGATGTTGACTAAAAAGTTACTGAAAGTCTTCCAGCCATTGTGGCCATCAGGATAGTGAGGGAGGCACTTAATCTGGTTATTGTCATTCACTTCCTGGAAAAAAAGTAAGTCTGGCATTGATGCTAAAATGGCAACTGCCCAAACGACCAGACTGGTGATAAACCCAACGGCAGTTGTCCGAATCCCTTGGACCTGGAGGGAGTGGACTATGGCCAAGTACCTGTCAACGCTCATGATGGTTATGAAGAAGACATTGCTGTAGAAACCAATGAAGTAAACTGAGCTGATAATTTTACACAGTGCATTTCCAAAAGTCCACTGGCTCACAATGGAGTACTGAACCAAGAAGGGCAGGGAGAATATCAAGAGGAGGTCAGAGACAGTCAGATTCAGCAGATACACGTCAGTCATGGTCTTGATTTTCATGGAGACTGTCAGAATCCAAACAACCAAAGCATTTCCCACGAGGCCTGCCACAAACAGTATGGAGTACAGCACTGGAAATAAGGTAGATGCAAATGCTGGAATACCTTCAGGATTGCAGATGATGTGTAGCTCTGAGTAGTACAAGGCATATTCATAGGCTGCAGAGGAGTTAGGTGTTGGTGAGATGTAACTCATCTGTTCAAGGACAACGAAATTCATATGAGCCAAATCCCACATTAGCAGATATACGAGGCACGAGTCAGCTCACACCAAGCTACATGAGGACAAAACAGATGTGCCACAGCTGTGGTATAATGAGCAATGAACACAAGTGACTGGCCATCCCCCTGTAGGACCCAGGATGAATCCTGGGGCATCACAGGGGCAGAGGAGATCAAGGAAAACACAGCTGTGGCATTAGTAGAGGTTACCAGCATCCTCCTGCTGCCACTATGTGGAGCCATGGCCCATGCCTGAGTCCAGGTAGGGTACTGAGGCCAGAGACAGGGACCATCCTCAAACCAGCAACAACATGGGCATGGCCAGGAAGCTGAGAGCCCCTGATATGGGTTTTGGGGTCCTATTTTATGTTTCCTTCTGAAAGGGGAAAGGGAGCATGGCCCAGGGAGAAACTGACATATTAACACTCATCTCCCAAAAGCTTTGTTTCCAGTTAGCTGAGTGCCAGAAATGGGATGCACCAGCAGCAGTGGCATGTCCCCTTCCTGTTCACCAGCCCCTCGCAGCTCGCCCACCCCCCAGGGCAGTACTTGTGACAGCAAACAATTAAAGAAGATGGATAGCAGCGTCCCTGACAGGATGTCCTCCATAGGACACTCCTAGCACTACCTCTGCCCTCAAGGACAGTCTTCTTCCACAAGCACAGTGTCATCAGCTAAAGATATTTTCACCCTGTGTTTTGTTTCTTTCCAGAGAACAACAATCACACTGATTTCTTCTGAATGCCCACTATCTCCACCAGTACTGTGTCCCATAGGAAAAACTGAACCTCTAAAATGTGCTAATGGCCCCAGCTTGCAGGAGAGAGCCCGGCAGGGAGTGACTCACCAATATGTCCTCAGAGCCAATGCTGCCCAGCAGGTCTGTGAAATTCTGCTCCATAATCCAACTCTGTGTCTGAAACAGTGCAAAAAACCTGTCTTTATATCACGTATTTTTAAGCAGCAGGCATACCTTTGTGTATATAGGCTGGCAATATTTACCTTAGCTTATGCTGCAATTCCAAGTTGCAGGTAAGGTCCTTACTGTGGCAGTGCACAGTCCTAAAGTCGCTTTCCCTGTGTGACCACTGCTACATTAAAGATGTATGAAACCTCAAGCCAGTGAGTTCAGCCTCTGTACTTAACACCCACAGAACGGAAATGTCAGCTTTATCTTCTGTATGATCACAGTTTTCATTTTGAGCATTTACATTCTTCAGTGGAAGAGATCTGCAATTTCCTCCACATCTTTGAAGTGCTCCTGTGTCCCACCTGCATATCCTGTACCTGCTGTCCCTGCTCTGAAGTTCTGGTGTCTAGGAGAGAGTAAGTAGTGCTGTCTCTGCCCTGCTCCTAGGGCTTTTGGTGAAGATGGCTGAGGGGGATGGCCCAATGCTGCCAATAGCCTGCAATGGCAAAGGGCCCCATGTTTGCTTTAACATTTCATTTGTCCTTGGAAGGCACCTTCCCCCCGCACCCACCCGAGCACAGACAGGAATACCTAAGGTAAATGATCATAGAATCACAGCTATTTAGGTTGGAAAAGGCACTTAAGATCACTGAGTCCAACTGTAATCCTAACACTGCCAAGTACATTTGAACCTTTCTTCCCAGAACACGCATGCTGCAGGATGCTCTCACAGACTAACACTGAAATAAAGCCCTGAACAGCCCTGAATTCTCACCAACCCTACCACATACCCACTGCAACCACATCCAGACCCAACACAGCTTCCATCCCACAGCTGCCCCCAATCTTCCCCACAACACAAGATACAGGGGAAGGAGCAGCCCTACTGAGCAACAGGGAGCATTTGAAGTGTGTGTTATCTCCTTAAATACTGCTGCTCCTCACTAGAGCTTGGTGCACTACTGAAATTCAGGCAAGTCATGTTGCATTAATAAACAGATGGGACTCAGTTTCCTCAAGCAGAAAAAGGCAATTCTTTATTAATATAATTCATTTTTATACACTTTTCACAGACCTTGTGCTCAACTCCAATTGGCTATTAGTTTTCTTGCTCAATTAATTAGTTAATAACTGGCATTTTACCTTTCCATCAAATCTCTCCATTCTTGGATTGTTGACATATTTTCTTCACTGATTCTCATGGGACAGATCTATTGTTTATACAGGTGCAAATTTATTTTTCTTACTAGAATAGGTTGTTGTGCTATCTTCATTCTTACGACTTTTCCTTATGGGAACTTAGAAGCTACTGCTAGCTTAACTAGAGTAGCAGGGCCTAAACCATATTTAAAAAGACCTTTCTTTTATAATATTTCTACCTGTCTGCAACAAGTCATATCATCATTTTGTTTGTTTTTGAACAAAGAGCACCCCACTGGGCATCAGTCCATAGCATTTCTCAACAAACCATTCCAAATGGAAATTCAAATCCTTTCTCAAACCCTTTGGATGTTCACATTCACTCACCATCCAAAGGCAGAGGGATAAATTTCTGTGAACCAAAAAAATCTGCAACTATTGCATGTGTAGCAGTGGATGGCTTTCCTCAGCCATGGTGGGCAGTGTGACATTAGGTCAAAGTTTTACATGTGACTCAAGCCATGACAGCCAAGCTCTGCTGGGTATTAACTCTTACAAAATCTGAAACTAGGAATTAAAACCAGAAACCCAATCTTCTGTTACAGGCAGTGTTACAGGCAGTTGCTGGCAGTGTTGAAGCTTGATCTCCACTGCCCTAATGCAGGATTAAAACGGCACTCACAACTCTCTTGGTACTAAAGTGGAAAAGAAAACAACCAGGAATTATTCAATGTGGAAAAAGATGTGTCCACCAAACGGGGATTTGGCAGTTCCGTGCCTCTCATCTTTCATCTCCTAAATAGAGATGACAGGCTATCAGAGTACAAGGACAGCGACATGCAGGGACGCGGCTCCCTCTGCTGGGCATCCCTGCAGAATTGAGGCACATCCCTGCAGAGATGTGTGAGATCAGCAGTGCTGTTTCACCTCTTCGTTCATCATGAGGCTTATTTTAAGGAAGAAAAGGCTTCCACAGCAAGGTAATAACCTGGAGACTGCTGTTGCTGCCAGGGTTTCATGCTGGATGAGCTCTTTCTTGGGATGCAAGCCACTTGGGCCAATATTGTTGCAGCCCATCTTGCTTCAGAAAACTACAAAAATGTCAATTGTTGTTCTACCCAAAGATATGGAGGAAGTGAATCTAGCCACACCATCCCCAGTTCCATATAGAAACATTTCAAATGCATCACTTGAGTTTGTCAGCCTTAATACAGTTAAGCTTACCCCTCTAAATAATCTACTTACCCAATCCCATCCAGAACAGCCAGAAACACGCCAAAAGAAATAGCCAAAGGGGCTTTTTCAAAATGACACATATATCCCAGACAGCTTCCTTATACAATCAATTGTATAACAGATTGGGCTTAAAAAGAAAAGTTTTGGTAGCAAGAGGGATGCAGGGCTGCCTGATGTGAGAAGATGCCAGAATCTGCCCCCGTGGTGGTAGTACCCTGTGGAGGATCAGTAATTGGACATCACACCATGATCAAAATGATCAAGTGAAGCTGATTTATTGCAAAAAGCAAGCTGTATTTATACTGTTCTCTATTGTTCATGCCTCAAGCTAATAAATGATTGGTTAAATCCTTCTACGCAAGCATTTTACTACTTCAGTTAATTTTAGTTAGTTTTTCTTCTTCATGTGTCTCGCTGCGGTTTTCTTGCCTGCCTTTGCATCCTGAACCATCTGCTTCTGAGTGTGTTCTTCTTCTTTCGTGTCCTTCAAGGGCATTGTGACCTTACTCAGTTTCTATGAAGGCTGGATTGTGCATATGTTGCATATGCCCATTGTCCTGCAAAAAACTCTCAACAGTAGCCAGTCCCAGCTGATTCCAAGACAGCCCTCCGCTGGTCAAAGCTGTGCCCATTGGTGATATTGGTAGTGCCTCTGTGATTCAGAAACACTGTGCAGCAGCAGCAGCTATGACAGAGTGAGAATATGTGAAAGAAATGCCCTGCAGAGCCCACAGCTGGTGAAGATGGAGAGGAAGGAGGAGCTCCAGGCAGTGGAGCAGAGATTCCCATGCAGCCTGTGATGCATGTTGTATCTGTGTTAGTGCACAGTGGAGCAAGATGTAAGGTGGGGAAAGAAGCACTAGGAGGGAAGGGGACAAGCTGAATTTTTCCATAAGTCAGCAGACAAAGTTAGTTAATGAAATGAAAGGCATTCACTCACCCAAGGAGGGAACTGCTTAACAAGAAAGGAGCTTGTCAAAGGGAAGAGGGAGTCCATAAGGAAGTGCTTTTGTGAGCCTGTGTGTTACATTTTCTCAGAGAAGTATGTTCTCTCTTTCTTCAGGGACTGCCACAAGGCAAAGTGAGCACAGGAGAGGAAGTAGTTTATGCATAATGGTTACTGCTGCACACAGGGTTTTCTTTCTCGGAACACCTGGAGCATGACGTTCTGGACATGTCATTCCTTACTTGGCCAAGGCCCAGCAAACAGGCAATTCTGAGAAAAGCAGCTTCCAAAGCCGTAACTTGCTCCTCCCAGCTCCTCCAGTTTTGTTGCTGATAAGCAGTGTCTGGCTCTGCAGGTACTGCAAAGCCACAGTCTCAGGGCTGGCACAGGTCTAATACTGAAACTCTTCATTTTGGTGCTCACTTCCTCAATGCTCTGGAAAGCCAGCCTACCTCTGCTCTGGGCCCAGGATGTGGATGAGCAAATGGAAACACTAGCAACAGGGGTAAGGATGCATCAGTGTGCATCTCAGGTTTCTGAACAACACTGTGGGTATCCATAGGAAGCTGGTTTTGTGGGGATGTGGGAGGTGTGAACTGAGGGAAGACATGAAAGCTGTCAGTTATGAACTGACCCTTCCCACTGCCCATGTCTGACAGAGTGCGCTGGGGCTCAGTTGCTGGATACAGCACAGAGCACTGGAATATAGAGTACAGCTGCTGGAACTGAGTAAATTCTGGCAACCCCAACTTCAGGCCATGAAACTGTTGGAGGTGAGGCCACAAAGCTGGAGCACCTGTTCTATGAAGACAGGCTCAGAGCATTGGGACTGTTCAGCTTAGAGAAGAAAAGGTTCTGTGGGGATCTCATAGAAGGCTTCCAGTATCTGGAGGGGACCTTACAGGGAAGCCAAAGAGGGACTCTTCATCGGGAGCTGCAATGATAGGACAGGGAGTAGCAGGTATAAATTGAAAGACAGGAAATTTAGGTTAGTTATTTAGTTATTAGGAAGAATTTTTTTTTTTTTTTTTTTTTTTTTTTTTTTTTTTTTTTTTTTGTGTGAGGGTGGCGAGACACTGGAACAGGCTGTCCAGAGAAGCTGTCGATGCCCCACACCAAGCAGTGTTCAAAGCAACACTGGATGGAGCCTTGAGCAGTGTGGTCTAGCGGGAGGCGTCCCCTCTCGTAGCCCAGGGGCTGGACCTAGATGAACTTCAGAGATCCATTTCAACCCCTTTACGTTTACGATTCTATGTAGAACGTCCAAAAGCCGTGACAAACACGCGATGCGGGGCAGAAGCGGCGGGATGGGACCCGGCTCCAGGCCGCGGCAGAGCGAGGCCGGGGCGGCCGAAGGGTTACGGGAGGCGCATGCGCCGGGTGGGCGGTGCTCCGGGCGGGGCCGGCTCGGGGCTGGCACGGGGCCGGACCTCGCCGCTGCCCGCCGCGCTCTGGGGCTGCGGGCGGCGCTGGGATGCCGGGCCGGGAGGCGGAGGTACGGCTGCGCCGGGCCGGGCCCGGCCGGGTCGGGTCGCTGCGCCGGGCCCTCCTCGCTCGCTCTGCCGTGGAGAGGCTGGGGCAGCGCCCCCGTGGGAGGCGAGGGGGCTCGCTGCACCCCCTGCGCTGCTGCGCCGTGTTCCGCGGCCTCGGGGGTACGAGGGGACGGGTCCGTGACGGTGGGTCTGGGCGGACCTCGGGGCCACCACTGCTGGCTCGGAGCGTGCCCCACACTGCTCCTGATCTGTCCGTGCTTTCTAGTCTGTCGTGATTCGCGCAGAAACTCGTTCTTCATTAGCAAACACCGTTATATGTTTGTAGTATATAAACCCTCTCTAAACACCTAAAAATCTTCACCCTGCAGTGGGCTCTGTGCCTCCTGCGGTATTATTTCCCGAGAAGTGCCGCTGTGGGCAGCAAAGGCAGCCTCAGCAGAGCAGGCCGTGCGGGGCTTTTGAGTGCGTTTGGGCCGGGTTTGGGTCTGGGTCTGGGCAGGGTTCGGGTCTGGGCAGGGTTTGTGTCTGGCTCTGGGCAGGGTTCCCCGCCAGTGCCTCTGGCAGCGGGGGGACCGCGGTGTGGGCATGGGAGGGAAGGGTTGGAGGTGCTGCCAGCCGAGGTGGATGGGAGTGCGGCCAAGGTACAGGTGGGTGGTGGGAAGGGGACACCTATTTCACTTGCCGTGGCAAAGGGTAGCCTAATGGCTGCTAGTAGATATGGTGTTCAGAAGACTCTTACCAACCACCGAATATCAGGGAGATTCTGGAACAATCTCTCAGAAAAAGCAGAGAACTCAAAAACCACAAATAAAACTTGATCAGTCTCAGAAAAGGTCTGGAAAAGCTTCCTGTGCCTTAAGCAGCTGACCTTAGCATCTGGGATCAGCACATCTTCTTTCCTATAGCATGCCATGTATTAGCTGAAATGTTTCTTCTTGTGCTATTTTTAATTAAATGGCCATTTAAAGTTCTATTCTTCCTCTTCCAGATGCATCCAGTCCTAAAGGCCTTTGTGTGCGGCTCCATCAGTGGCACTTGTTCCACGCTCCTCTTCCAACCCCTTGACCTGCTGAAAACACGTCTGCAAGCTCTTCAGCCTGCTGTGAATGGGTGAGAGGAGGGGGATGTGTCTGCCTGGAGGTGCTCTGCCATAGGCTTCTGCCTTATTTGCTGGCTGGGGCTTGGAGTTCAGAGTTGTAATCTGGGAAATGAGGCTTTGTAAAAGAGGAGGTGTATTTTTATATTATGGAGAAGGATTGTTATTTTGCTCCAGAAGAACAAAAATATCTGTGAGTGGTTATGAATGCCACTGGAATAAGTTGTAACCTGAACATTTGTTCTCATCTGAGAGACTGGTGTTTGCTGGAGTAGCTACCATGCAGTTTTATGGGGTATCCTCTGCCTGAAAAAAATCCTGTGTGGTTGTCAGGTAATTTTTCATGCATGCAGCTTGCTATTGTCAACCTACAATCTGCTGCTGCTAACAAAGAGAGTGAGCAACTAAAAATGCTAATGGGTGTTACAAGTTGTGAGATACAGAAGGTGATGGAGAAGCCCTGGAAAGATTGACCAAGAAAAGCAGACTGAGATGAGGAAGAGCACCTTGGAGGTGCTGAGTTAATGCACAGATGAGTGAAAGGAGTGGCTGATCTGGCAAGGATCAGAAGCAGGTCATTTCTTCAGTTCCTGTCTTTATTTCAGGTCTGGTCGTGCTGGGATGGTGACGCTGCTCTTTAGGGTTGTTCGTACTGAGAGTATTCTGGGGCTCTGGAAAGGTGTCTCTCCAGTAAGTGGCTGGTTTAACTCTGACCTGTAAAAATAAGTAAATAAATAAGCTTACTGTTTATTGTTAATTAGGTCTGCCTGAATTTAATAGCCAACTCTTGTACAATTATGAGGGAAATGACATAATTAAGATTACATTCTATTTTAAGGAATTAATGTTGTGAGTTTCTTTGATTTGGTTATGACAGTCCTGAGCAGCTGAACATTTGAATACTTTTGCAAATGTGGTGTGGCAACTGCAAGAACTTCATTTTGGTTGGGAATATCTTGTTCCTAGAAAACCGCCATTGAGGAGTGCAATAAATTTGTCTGTTGGTGGCATAAATGATTTCTACCTTATTTTCTCTCCTCAGCATGTTAGCTTTAGTGATATGTTTGTCTTCTACAAAGCTTCCTGTCAAGTTGAACAGTCTCAGAAATGTTTTGTAGTACATTTTGTCTTATATAAGCTTTTCCTTTCTTCATCTGCTTCCGTTTCTCCTGAAGTCCTTTGCAAGATGTATTCCTGGGGTTGGGATTTACTTCAGCACTTTGTACGTGATGAAGCAAAAGTTTCTTGTGGACCGTTCACCCACAGCCCTGGAGTCTGTCTTCCTGGGTGCTGCTGCTCGTGCAGTTTCTGGGATTTGCATGTTGCCAGTGACTGTGGTGAAGACCCGATATGAGGTATGTCTTTACAGTTAGTCCCCTGTTAATGGAGTCACACACCTTCCTTGTGATGCAAAATAATTCCTTCTGCCTGGAGAAGGTTGCTGCACTTGGGTACAGCCAGGAATGTAGCCCTGATTTCACCTCAGTTCACACATTGTGCAGGAAATGAAATTTGGGCAAGAAGATGAAATAGAATTCACCCTAAGATTTCTAAGTTTCAGTTGTATGCAATGTTTGTGTAGCATCTTCCATATGTTACCTCTCTGAAGGATTCTTTTAAAGGCTGAGTTAGGTGAGACCCGGTTTTTGCCTTGGGTTGTCCTCTGTGTTGCCATCTTGGGCATCACATTAAACTCA